TGTCACACACCAGTGGCTGTGGGAGCTCTGGGAAGGCCTTGGTAGCTTTACTGAGGCATGAGAGGCACTGGCTTCTGCTGTGCCTGCCTTGTCCTATGTGGGGAGGTGATGTCACTTCAAGCAGCAGTGATGCAGTGTCAGCCCCTGCCCACGTGTCCCCTACCTGCCTGTCCCCTGCCCAGCCCCCAGGCCAGCAGCCATCCCTTCCCTTGGCCTTGCCCCCTTTTCCATTGTTTTGGCTAAGTGTGTGCCCTTTCTTGCAGGATTTGAAATTCCTGACGGAGATGCAGAGAAGCTGATGTGTCCACAGGAGATTGTAGATTACATTGCAGATAAGAAGGATGTTTATGAATGAAGCAGTTCCTCAGGGCTGAGTGAGTGCAGACATACTCTGGGCGTGCCTTGCCTGGGTGCACACAGGGGCAGGGCAGGGTGACCTGTGACACCATGGAGGCAGTGGGGAGCCTGGCACTTTCTGAGGGAGCTGGCAGCAGCTGTAGGTGCCAGCGGGGAGAGCAAGGGGGTTGTATTTTCCTGAGGGTGAGGGGGGTGTTTTCCTGAGGCACTTGCAGCTGGAGGGAGTGTGTGGGGCTCAGAGGCCTCTCCTCTTGTCCCACCTGACATGTTGAGCACTGGCTCACCCCGGGGCTGTAGTGGATGGTGAATAGGCTTCGGCCATGGCAGCCCATCTCCCCGTGCCCCTCGGCCCTGCAGAGGGTGTGTGGGGGCACCTCAGCCCCCCCGGCCACTGCCACCGCTGTCTCTTCCCCCACAGCCACAGCCGGGAAGGAAATGGGCAGGAAAGGGTTATAGGAGCGACAGCCTGAGGGCTGCAGGGGAAATGAGGTGGCCTCGGGCCAGCCTGCAGTGCTGATCCACATTCCTGCCTGTTCCTGTGTGGCTCTGGGCCTCCCCCCACGCTCCCCGGGGCAGGGGGCCTGTGTCCCTTCACTGCTTTGGGCCGGGGTTTGAGCCATGGTCTTTGGAGAGAGCTGGGGCCTCCTTCTGTGCCTGTGTTTGGTGCTCAGCATGTCCTGCCCCTGCCTACCCACTTCTGTGCCTTCAAATGGTTTATGAAATGTTAGACATGGATTTTGTTTTCCCAGGAGCTGTCCCACACCAGGCCTGGGCTGGTGCCGGCACGGATGGATGGGAGCGCACACGCTGTCCCGCTGGGGCTTTCATCTGGAAGCTGCACGTGGATGTTGTATTTAAAGCTGTCTGAATGTGTTGTCTTTAAAAACAAGAAAAAACAGGAATAAACAGTTAAGACCATTGTTGTGTGTGGCTGTTCTTTTCCACACAGTGGGTGGGTCCCTGTGTCGGTGTTTGGGTGTGAAGGACTCGCTGGGGGTCAGGGTCTGACAGCTCTGGAATTGTTCTTCCCTGCCCCAGGATTTGGCTCTATCCTGCTTGCCCATAACTTTATTTCATCAGTGCTGGTAAAAACAAGTTCTGTGTGATAGGCTTCTATTTTCCAGATGGAAAATAAAGGGGGGAATGACTTTCCTGCTGCTGAACAGCAAATTCATATTGGTGTTTCTGTATGCCTGACTCATCCCAGTGCAGAAGCCTTGCTCCTGAGGCAGGAATGGGTTATTTCTCCACCCTGTACCGTGTTTCCTCTGAGCAAAGGAACACTTTCACATGTCACAGCAGCACTGCCAGGCCAGGAGCCAAGGAAGTGTCACTGGGTAACAGAACTTCTGGCAATGGGGAGGTGAGGATGGAAAATGGAGCAGAGGCTGTGTGTGGTGGAGTGTTCCTGGGGTGTTCTCAGTAGCTGCACTTTACTATGAGACTCAGTAGACAAGTGACCCTCTGCCTTCAGGGCCCGATGTCAATCCCACTGTGAGCAAGGCCTGTGTCCTGGGAAATTCCTTCACAGCTCCACACCCCAGCTGTGCTCTGACGCGCTTTCTGAGCAGTTGCATGGTGGAACTGGGGGCAGGCAGTGGTTTTGGCCACTGTGTCCGTGATGGTTTCCCTGTGGCAGGGCTGTGAGGTGCCTGCTCAGAGGCTGTGCTGGTGCTGGGGTGGTCACTCTCCGTGTGACCCTGAGGGATGTGAGGAACCCGCAGTCAGAGCAGCCAGCGGTGCCCTTGGGGAGCCTTTGCCCTGGGCATTTCCCCAGGTTCCCGGGGACAGCCAGGGACAGAGCAGGGGCAGAGCCGGGCCCGGGACGCGCATCCCGGGGATGAACCCGTGGGAGGCGGGCGGGAGCCCCCCGAGCCCCGGCCCAGGCTGAGCCCGCGGCGGGGCGATGGGGCCGAGCCCGCAGCCGCAGCTCCGCACCTGGGGCGGCCGGCGGGGGCCGGGCCGAGCCCCTCGGGGTGGGTCGCAGTGCAGAGCACCGGCCTGCCCGCCCTGGGGCGGAGGGAGCTCCGGTGCCGGTGCCGTGGGGCGGGCCCGGGCCGGGGGCTGCGGTTCCCGGCGCCTCCGCCCCGCCGCAGCGGGGGCGGGCGGGGGTTTCCTGCCGCCGCCTGGCAGAGCCGCCCGCGCCGCGCCATGGAGCGGCCCCGGCTCCCGCTGCCCCGGCTCCCGCTGCCCCGGCTCCTGGCCGCCGCAGGTGAGCAACGGGGGTGGGCACGGCCGCGAAGGGGCCCCGGTCCCGCTGGTTCCCGGGCGGGGGATGCTGCGCTCGGGAGGCGGCGGCGGCGGCGGGGCCGGTGAGTGCCGGCGGCCCGGGGGTCTGCGGTGGGGCCGGGTCCCCGCTGGGGTGGGGGGCAGCGGCTGCTGCTCGGTGTCACCGGGACCCGCTCGGGGCGGGCCCGGCCGCGGGGGCTCGGGGGCGGTGGGTGAGAGCCGCGGTCGCTGCCGTGCCGTGGCCGTTCCGTGCCGGGCTGTGCCACCGGGCCGGGCGGCTCCGTGGCCTCGAAGGCGGCGGGTGCTGCGCCCGCGGGAGCCCCGGTGAGGCGCTGGCGGAGAGCGGGGCCCGGGGGGCTCGAAGTGACCTCCGTTCCAGCCCCGGCCCCACCCGGGCGGTGACCACCGCCCGTTCTCTCTGGAGAGGGGCCGCCGCGGGCCCCGGAGCCCTGCCCGGAGCCCTCCCCCGGGCTCTGGCGTCGTGCCCTGCCCGCGGACCCGCTGGTGCCGGCGTTGGCACATGGCGGCTCTGCGGGAGGGTGGTCGGGTTTGGGCAAACCGGGGGCTCCCAGCACAGCCGGAGTGTGGCGGTGGGGCAGGACTCGGCACCGTTCGTTGGGACCAGGGCAGGTGGTTCCCAGCTGGGTTTGGGTTGTTCCGGAGCGTCTCCTTCGGCAGAGCTGCTCGCGGTTTACGGAGGGGAGAAAGCGAGCCCCCCACCCTCGCCGGCGGCTCCGGGGGTGCCGCGCCCCGTAGCCGGTGCTGGTGCAGGATGCCCGGTGCTTGGTGCTCGGACCGATGGGCGCTGCTCCCTCCCCTCCCAGTGCTCGTGGAATGCTGCGCGCGGCTCTGCCCCGCTCTGGGCAGCGGGACGGGCTCCACGCCGGGCACTGCCGACCCCTGCGCCCACCTGGGGACCGCGGCGGGGGAGCGCTGCCGGACAGGTACCCCCGGGGCTGGGACCGTCCCACTCGCGGCCCTTTGTGGCACTGCGTGCCAGCCACGTGTGTGGGTGGCACGATGGGGCCAAGGGTGCCGCTCTGGCAACTGTGGGGTGCTGACCATGGGTTAGCCCTGCTCAGTGCCCCCCAACTCTGCCCCTGCCCCCAGATCACCCAGAGCGAGGAGCTGGCACGGGGCAGGCGCCAACACCGGAGACCTTGGGGCAGCTGTGGACAGAGGCTGAGCTGCTGCCCTTCCCTGGGACTCCTGCCAGGACAGCCGAGCCCTCCGGCCCCCAGGGGAGCCCTAGAGGCCCCCAGACGGGCGGGGAGGGAACAGGGCCAGCGGTGTGGGGTGGAATAGCCACTGAGCACCCGGGCCCCCCCGTGTCTGCAGGCACCACCGAGCAGGCAGCTGCAGGAAGCGAGCTGGGGGTGATCAGTGCAGGAGCCCCAGGCCCTGTGCAGCCAAACACAGATCCTGCCACCACGGACCCCCTCGGGACTGACCCTGTAGGACATGTGACAGTGGAAGGTGTAAAGACCATGCAGGGGACCCCTTCGCATTCACCGCCCTCCATGGCAGTGCCACGTTCTGCTGGGGGACAGAGGGGATCCCCCAACACCCTGATGGGATGGAGGTCCATGGGGACAGTCCTTGTGCAGAGCCAGAGGGGCTCACACAGCTCCTCATCCCCCGAGCTGTGGGCTGGGGAGGGCCCGGGTGCCACTGTCCCGCTGGGTAATAGGAGCCCAGGGACCCACCCAGCCACCACGCTGGCTACTGACAGCCCAGTGCTGGGGACAACAGGGATGTCACCCTTTGGAGAGGGGTTGCAGAGGCTGCTGACCCCCACAGGGGCACTGTGGGGGACACACCAGGGGCTGCCGGGGCCAGGGCTGGCAGGAGGACAGGGCTCTGCCTCCCACCCATGGCAGGGTCCCCACTCTGCCCCTCACCCCTCTGCGCTGTCCCTGGGGGCTGCTGGCCATGAGGGGCCTGCGGCCAGCACAGCCTGGCCAGCCGTGGGCACAGGCCCAGCCTCACTGCCTGCCACAGGCAGGGGGTCGGGTCTGCCTGTCCCCACCACCACAGCTGGCACCCCAGGGGTGACTTCCTCTGTCCCAGGGGGAGCCCTGGACCTGACCACAGGAGTCTTGGGGCCACCTGACAGGGGGGGTTCCCCTGAGCAAAGTCACATCCCCCTGAACCCACCAGCTGTGCCAGGGCAGTCACCAGCCCCTCTGGCCCCCAGCAGCAGTGCTGTGGTGCAGAGCAGGGTGACTCATGCCAGTCCTGGGTCCCCCCATGTCCCCCTGTCCCCACAGCCTGCCCCAGCCAGTGGGGCAGTGACCCTGCTGCCAACCCTGCTGTCTTCCCCAGGGACTGGCTGGGGGGTCCTGGGGCTTGCCCCTGCTGTGGGCACCCCCCCAGGAGACCCCTCCCCAGGGCTTCCCCACACTGACTCAAGGGTGGGTCCTGCTGAGAGCCCTCAAATCCAGGAGGGGACCCAGGTGGGAGTGGGCAGCCTGGCCCCTCCCTCAGCCTCTGGGCCCCCCCAGCAGCCACCTTCATCCCAGCCTGCATCTTCCCTGGGACCGACCACCGCTACTGGCATCACTGCCACCGCTGTGGCCACCATCACAGCCACCACCATCACAGCCACCACCGCCAGCCCAGAGCTGCCCAGGGATGTGGGGACGGTCACGCCAGAGCCTGGTGCTGCTGTACTGCAGAGGGATGTGGCAGGGCTGACGTGGGGGCCCCCAACTCATGTGCCCACTGTGATGCCCAGGGCCCCCCAGCAGCCCACCGATCCCGATGAGACCCTGGGCCATCGTGGGGGCCCCAGGTCCCCTCCAGCTGTGGAGGACACAGACCTGGCCCAGCCATCGAGCAGCCCTGTAGGGCGGCCGGACACCAATGCCCCCCGATTGATGCCAGCTGGGGTGGGCAGGGCCCCGCAGGTGTTCATTATGGAAGATCAGCCCCCGCTCCTGAGAGGTGGGTCTGGGGGTTTGGGACCCTCTCCTGGAACATGGTGGGAGGGGGAGAGGCCCTGGGAGCCACCAACATGGGGGGGTCAGTGGTGGGGGCCCCTGGGGTGGGGCCATGTCATGCTGGTCCCCATCTCCTCCTGCAGCATCCCTCTTGCGTGTCCCCTGCGAGCTGGTGCTGGACATGGGGTTCGTCCCAGCCCTGCAGGACCCCGGGTCCCACGAGCACCAGGAGCTGCTGCACAGCTTCAACCAGACGGTGAGTGCAGGGGGGCTGGGGGGCTGCGGGGCTGCGGGTTGGGGGCCATTGCACTCAGCTCCCCCCCTGTGCAGGTCACCCCCCTCTTCACATCGGTGCCCGGGTTCCTGCGGCTGGAGGTGACAGGGATCAGGTGGGTGCTGGTGCAGCCCCGCAGCACGTGATGCTCCCTGGCACGGGGGTGCAGGGACTGTCACATGCTGCGGGGTCACGGCAGTGCCAGGTGAGGTGCTGGGCACGGGGTCTGCCCCCACAAGCTCCAAGCGGGTGTCCCTGCAGGGAGGGCAGTGTGGTGCTGCACTACGACGCGCTGTTCGCGGGGGAGCAGGTGCCAGTGCTGGGGCTGGACACGCTCCTCGAGGCCACGCTGGGCTCCGGTGGCACCCGGCCAGGGCTGGTGGTGGGAACAGCCCCCATCCTGCGCCACGAGGCTCTGGGTGAGTGTGGGGCAGGTACCGGGCTGCACCATCGCCGACCCTCCCCTGGGCCTGGAGCCTGGTGCCTGCAGGGGTTGTGGCAGGGTGGGCACACACCTGGCCCTGGCTTCCTGCTCTGTGGGAAGGGTGGCACAGCCAGGCCCTGTTCCTGCAGTGCGGACACTGGACCCCTGCACTGTGTTCTTTGCCTGCCCGACCGGCTTTGCCTGCGTGTCTGGGGCAGATGGGAACGTGACCTGCACCTCCCTCTGCCACCGCGACTACTGCAAGAACCAGGGCATCTGTACCCACCCGCGGGACCGCCAGCCCCTGTGCCAGTGAGTGCCCTGGGGACAGCCCGGGGTGCTGGGTGCCATCCCCCCGGCACTGATGGACCCCCCTGGCGCAGGTGCCCCGTGGGCAGTGATTTCTGGTTCATGGGTCTGCGCTGTGACTACCGGGTGACCCAGCAGAGCCTACTGGGTGCAGCAGCCGGGATCCTGCTCATCATCGTCCTCCTGGGCGCCGTCCTTGCCACCCTTGCCATCCGCCGCTTCAAGGCCCTGCTGCTGGAGGCCAGGGCTGACCAGACCCGCAGCAGGTGGGAGCGTGGGGCCGTGGGGACCAGGACTGGGGCCTTGGGGTCCTGGAGGGAGGGAACTTCTTCGCCTCCTGGGGTGCCAGGTGCGAGGGGCAGCAGGGAGAGCCGTGGTGGGGTGGCTGGGCTGGGCTGAGCCGGGGCTGAGCTCTGCCAAGGAAAACACTGTGGGACGGCTGATAGTGGTGCTGGGAGGTGCTGGGGCGGGGGGAGCACGTGTGGGGCCCAGAGCGGCTGGGTGGGGGTCCGGGGTGTGTGCTCGGTGCTGGGGGATGCTCAAAGCCACGGGAAGTGGCGTCCAGGCCGGAAAGGAGTGCCGGGGGCCGCGGGGCTGGATGGGGCCGCTGTGGCACTGAAGGGCCGTGGGCTGTGCTGCAGCACTGAAGGACTGTGGAGAGAAGCTTGAGATGTGCCGATGGGTCCCCAGCTCCGCGGTGCCCGGGACACCCAGTGCTGCCCCTGGCACAGGGTCACCCTGTGCTGCTGCCCGGGCTGGGGGGGAGCGGGGCTGCAGCACAGCCCTGCCAGAGCGGCTCGGGGGGAGCCCCGGGGGGAGCCCCCGCTCTCCTGGTCCCGCTGCCCGTTCTGTAAAGTGCCGTGGGGGGATTGTCCCCAGGAAACCACTGTAACAGCCTCAACTACCACGGGGCTGTGGCCAGAGGTTGTTTGGTGTCACGGGCTCTGTCCCCAGCCTGGGTGTGCGGCTGGGCCCTTCCCTGGACACTGGAAATTTGTAGCCATGCAGTCGGTGGGGTGGGGTGCACGTGCTCGTGGTGTGTGCACATCTGTGCTCTGTGTGTGTACGTGTGTGTTAGAGCATGTGTGTACACACGTGTGCACATGCTTGCCCTGTGTATGTGTGTACTCACATGCACGTGTGTGGCCCGTGTATGTATACACACATGTGTTAGTACAGGTGTGTACACACGTGTGTTAGTACAGGTGTGTACACACGTGTGCATGTGCTTGCACTGTGTGTATGTACACACACACGTGTGCACGGCCCTGCCCTGTCCCACAGCTACCGGCGGTTCTGCCGCCTGGACGATGTCTCGGCCCAGTACTGGTCTCGCTCGGGGCTGCCCTCGGCCAGCTCCCTGGACAATCCCGCCTTCAGCAACTCAGAGGAGCTGCTGCACCTCCAGATCCTGGACAACGGCTTCTGCAGCTGCCAGGAGGACTCCAGTGTCCCCGACGGTGCCAAGTGTGCCCGCCCGCCGTACCGGCCCAGGTAGGGGTGGTTTGCCGAGCCCGTGTAGCAGGGCCCGGCCTTTGGCTTGCTCGGTGGGGTGGGGTGATGCAGGGCAGGGAGGGGTTTGGGGCACGCAGGCAATCCTGGCACCACTGATTTGCAGCCCCTGCCCTGTGCTCATCGACAGTGCTGGGAGCTCTTACACCTCCCAGCCTTTAGAGTCCATGGAGCAATGCCTGTTTTTTTGTCCCCATGTAAGGAGCTGTGTGTGCTGGGACTGCTGTAACAGAGGAGGGTTCACATCTGCAGGAAACCGTGGTTCTGTGTGCTCATGGGAAAGTCTCCAGGGTGTCCATGGAAAAAGGGCCCTGGAAGTTTCCAATTCCACTGGCAAAGGGCACAACAGCCAGGGATGCCCCCACCATGGATCATGGGCACGGCCACAGCTCCAAGTGCTCCCTTGGCTGTGGGGCCGAGCCCGGCACCGCCTGTGCTGCGAGTGCATCGTCCCTGGAGCATGACACCAGCACAGGGTCCTGCTCCTCTGTCCCCCGGTTGCTTTCCCAGCACCAGCCCAGCTCTTACCCCCGCCTCCCCCATCTCTTAATTACCCATGGATTCTTTTCCCAGCTTCCATTACGACTGGGACACCAGTTCTAGCAGCATGAATGACCCCATGGTGGACTCGGGCAAAGCCAGTGATGTCTCTGTGTCCAGCTGGCCCATGGAGCCCATGCAGTGGGCTCCATTCCCTCTCCTCCACCAGCTTTCCAGGCAGCGACCGGTGAGCAGGGGGGACCAGGGGAGGGCTGAAGGGCAGGAATGCAGGAGGGGTGCAGGGGCCACATCTTTCTCACCCCAGCCTGGGAGGGTGAGACCTGGGAAGTGCCAGGAGCCATCCCTGCCAGGGGCAGCAGCCCCACTGTGGGGCATGAGCTGAGTTCACTCTCTGCAGCAGAAGGCCCGTCGGCCACACTCGTTCTGCGAGGGGCTGGAGCTGGGCACCCTGGAGCGGAGCTGGACGGCCTGAGGGCACAGACAACAGATGGGCAACAAGGTTCAGCTTTAAAACCAACCACATTTTATTTCCACGTAACGAGCTCAGTGAAGGAATTCCACACACTTGGACAATACAATCAACGCGGGTGTGATGTCAGTGATGTCAGTCCCTGTGTGGCAGAGGCCCAGCGAGCCCCTGCCCGCGGGTTCCTGTTCGGACCCAGCCTCGGAAGCTCTGGCTGGGACTGCGGACTCCAGAGCAAGCGGATACAGAGAAGTGTCAGGACACACAGTGCTGGCATCCACCAGGTCATGACTTACGGGGGCAGTCTGGGAAGAAAGGCCGACAGCGTCCGGAGGGCACGTCACACTATGGACACACAGGCTCTGCCCTACGGCCACCGCAGGACAAGCTCAGCCATGCGGAAGGGAGACACAAGAAAGCGCTGCTGCGTCGTTCATCATGATTCATGTCAATGAGGTATAAACACCAGGATGTTGTAAGCATTAAAGTTTATTTTCCAAAATGCTCTCCTTATTCACACGTGTCCTCTGGAGCATCGAGCCGGGCACAAATGGTGGGGGCTGGAAATGGGGCGTTGTACGGAGGGCGAGGGCAACGGGGTCCCAAAGGTGCTCGGATAGAAAAGGAAAAGCAAGCTGCAGTTCTACACTTAGACTCTCATAGTCTCAGAGGGGGCACGTCGAGGGAGATTTTTGCTAGAATAAAATGCAGATCTCTCTTCATAAAAAAATCAGTTTGCTAAAAGAAAACTCAACCTATGGGAATACAGAGCTATCGGATCGGTCGATATTCTCATCGTATAGAAAACAGCCTACAAATAAAGTCACAAAAAATAGACAGTTATATGCTGAGCAGCCAAAAACATCATGATTTATTAATATCTGGAGAAACTTCATAATTCAAACACAACCAAACTGTACATTTTACAATCACATTCTATTTGTAAACAGTTAAAAGCCACTGACTTCTTTTGCATCTTCGGACAC